CAGGATGTCCACAGTAGACTTCCCAAACAGTCCGAGTGCTCTGGTGTGGGGCCCCCGTCAGGAGGCTGGGGAAGTAAGGCGGTGGGGCAGAACAACTTTGCGGTCACTGGAACCTGAAAACTCAGAAAGGCCTTGTACTAGAAGCCCCCGCTTGCCTAAAGCCTAACTTTCCATTGAGAGGGTCCCATCTGGAGATTCCAACTTCGACAAAATCCTGAGGTCCGTGGAGGTCCATCTCTGGCAACTCTGAGGCACTGCTGTGGGGAATAGGTATGTGGGGGCCCAGGGAGGGGATGGTTACTCCCTGTGTCCCCTTCTCACTCAAGGACTCTCTCAGTGATGGGGCTTGGCTGGGGGGGAATATGAAACATGTACTATTCTACTAAAAATGGACCGAGAACCCCCTCCTCTGCTGCCGACACATGGCCTGAGACGGCGTGTGACTTTCAGTGACACCCCAGAGTCAGGGCTGAGTGGTGGTCACAGGCTCCCTGCTTGCAGGCACTTGCTTTTAAGAGCAGCCGTTGTTTCTTGATGGGAACACGGGCTCTCCTGGGAGTGAGGCCTTTCTCACTCCCTACCAGCCCACGTGAGCTGGGGGCACCTTCCTGACTCCCCTGAGCCGTGGCCAGTCATCATGTGTTTCTTCTGTTACCTACAGAATCCCTGGAACACCGGAAACATGTAAATACACTTGTGGTTAAAACATTCTAGCACAGTTGAGGAAAGCCACCCTCAGTGACATGAGGCCTTCGGACTCCTTCTGGCTGTCTGAGTAGGGGACAAGTTTGGTCCCCAGGATCCTCTTCGGGGACTTCTGACACTCGCATTGGTGAATATTGTCTAGAAATTGTCCCCTGTTGTCATCGACCTGGAACACAGGCCACAGTGTGGAGAGTTCTGGCCACTGCCCTTGGCCAGCTGTGGATAGGAGGTGGGTGCCAAGCACCAGGGCAGAGAGTCTGGTGGTTTTCTCTGTGGCCGCCCTGGCGCCATGTTTCGAGGCTGCTAACTGGGTAAGACTCCTGTGACATCTGGTGAATTGGAAGCAGCGGCCAAAGCTGTGTTGGGACTTGAGAAGCAGTCCTGGCTCCTTCGGGTACACACACCTGCCTCCCTTTAGCACCAGATAAGACTGTTTCTGCAAATAGAAGGTTTGTGAAAGCATCTTGATGCCACTTTTCTGACAGATGTGCTCATTTCATGTCTCTGTCATATTTTGGGAGTTCTCACAATGTTTCAGCCCGTTTTCCTAATGCTGTTACACGCGTAATAGACTACCTGCCCACTCCTGTCACAGTCCTGACTCACAGCCACCCCGTTGGCTTTCTGAGGCTGTAAGTCTTTGTGCGAGGAAACTGCCAACCTTTCAGTTAACTGATAATACAACCCGTTTTGTTGTGCTTTGGGGTTTCTCCCCCCCCCCCAAGTAAATTGGGACAGCGCAGGAAAGGAAGGCCCTCTATGAGGTGGATTGATTCAGTGACTGGGATAATTGGGATGGGAGTGTCAGAGACAGTGCGATTGGCACAGGACAGAGCGGAGTTTAGGGATGTTGTACATAGGGTCACTATGAGTCGCAAGCGACTCGACGGCACATAACAACAAATTTTATTTAATGACTTTGCCCCCTCGAGTTTTGGGGTTGTGTATGTGTGTACGTTTTGTTTTGGTTTTTATTATTTGTTCTTTCATACAAGCATCCTCCCTCCCTCTCCCCCCCAGTCCCCGTGTAGGACTATGGACTGCCATACACTTGGTTTCTAATCAGTTCCTTTCAGAATGGTTTTCCTTTCATTCCTTCCAGTGCAATGTTCATTTTCTATCCATTCTTTTCCCATTCTTCCCCCACCCCCACCCTGGCAATCCTGCTATTACAATAATGGGCTTATGTAGTGTTGGTGACTAAGGTGAGGTACTTGACTCAGCTTCCAGACTCATCCACATTTTGGGGTGTTTTAGTTCATTATTCTTCGGTGCTGCATTGTAATCCAGTGTGTTGAATGTACCTTCGTTGTGCTCTTCATCCATTCATTCATTTATGGGAACCTGGGCTGTTTCCATCTTTGGTTATTGTGAATAGTGCTGCAGTAACATGGGTGTGCCTGTGCCTGTTTGTGTTGCAGCTCTGATTTCTTTAAGGTGGTGGTGGTGTTGTCATGGTCGTTACATGCTGTCGAGTCACCTGTGACTCATAGCAACCCTGTGCACAGTAGCTCTGAACTCTGCCCTGTCCTGAGCTAATCTCACTGTCCCTGACACACCTGCCCCTATTACCCCAGTCACTGTGTCAGTCCATCTCATCCAGGGTCTTCCTGTCCTGCATTGTTGCCTGTACCTACACTTGAACTGTGTAGGGCGCTCCTCCGTGTGTTGTTGCCCAAGGAGCTGTTCTGAGTGAGGAAAATGCTACCTACAGTCGCATGTCCCCCATTACCACACAGCGCTGTGACCCCTTCACCACCCTGTGACCCCACGCAGCGCTGTGACCCCTTCACCACCCTGTGACCCCACACAGCACTGTGAGGACCACCACTGTGCAGCCGTACCACCTCCCAGCAACCCCACACAGCACTGCAGCCCCACCGTGGGAGGGGCTCCCAGTGGGAATCCCAGCAGTGGCCTCAGCAGGGACCCCTGACTTCCTGTCAGGCCCAGCTGCCAGCCTGAGCCCAGCCCACGGGCAGAGGGCAGGGCGTGGGCTCCATGGAGCGAGCGAGAGGCAGGCAATCACTAGGCAACCTGGAGCTTGTTGCCCAGGTAACGAGACTGGGCATCACACTGCGGACGGATGTCTTGTGTTTTTCCTCCCCCGCTGTCTCCCTGGCCCCACCGTCCCTCCAGAGCCCTCTGCACCCGGGCTGCTGCCCTCGTGGAGGCTTTTGGTTAGCAACATGAATATCGTGGCCCAGTCGTGCCTCTGCAGTCATCCTTTACGTCACCTACTGCCAGCCCCTCCCCCACCCCAGGTAACCTCTGCCCCCAGCGGAGGCAGCTCCCCAGGGAGAAGGGGGGGCGGCCACTCTTAGCAGCAGAGGGGGAGGGAGGAGCCGTGACGTCCGGATGCTTAGTTGAGGTATGGGCAACTTGCTTGTCAGCTCTGTCCTTGCACCCTGGCCTCCTGCCATCTGGAATGGCCACTGTCACGCTCTTCAGGGCCAGCTGTCTGACAGGACAGTGTGACACTCCACGCTGTCCAGGCTGAACGCAGATATCCAGGTGGACTGAGGGAGACCTCCTTGGTCCGAGACCCCCACTGCCTCGGTCCTGGAGGGAACAGCGAGACTGAGTGGGCAGATGCTTCCTCCAGTCGGTCTATAAGCTCATGGCTTCCTGGTCAACTAGCAGGACCTCAGCCAGCTGCCCCCACCTGGGTGGTTAGAACGTCAGCTTCTCGTCTAGAAAACTGACTGGAGCAGCCAGGCATCTGCCTGAAGGACCCCCAGGACACTGGACAACTGAGCTGTGAAGGCCTTGCCCAGGGTAGAGGGACAGCGGCCTGTGGGAGGCCCACAGTGGCCAGCATCCCTTGGCCAGCTGGCTCTTGGTAGACCAGGACAAAGGCTTTTTCTTAACTCCACGTCCAAAGAAGTGATTGTCCTCACCTACTGCAGCTGTGGCGTCCCCTCATTTTCTCCTCGTTCTCTGGCCCCAGATCCCAATGCAGCTCCCCTGGGATGGACAAGGAAGCGAAATGTGCTATAGAACCAGGCATTTCCCAGGCGAACGTCACTAAGGTTCAGTCAGCTAAAAACAAAACCTCCCTCCAGGGCCCCAGACAGCTTCTACAGGAGGGGACAAGACTTCTGGTGAGAGACACAGAAGTGCATTCCCCCAACCTCAGAGACACAGCAGCCTGACCAGTCCAGGAGCCTTGGTGGGAAAAGCTGGAGGGGATGGAGTAGGAAGGGCCCCCAGGACACAGAGATGCTGGTCAGCCTGTGAAGAGACCACAGGTTCATGTGCTTGGCTGAGATGGTACACCCTGGGGTCCTGGGTGTCTGAAAGCGTGTGCTGTGCTGTGCTGTCCTGCCATGGAGTGCCAGTACCACTTTGGGGTCGGGCCTTCTCCTGAGGGTCCCTCATGGCTCTTGCTCAGCCGGGACCCATGGTCAGAGGTACCACACAAAGCCGTTGCCGTATGTACACTTGGGAATGGTCTCTGAGCTGTTCCTCCTGTCCCCAAGTGTGGCTGGAGGCACTGTGCCACCCTGCTGTCCGCGCAGAGTCGATGGGGAAGGGGCATTTGTGAGACACGGGCAGGGCTGCCTGGACCCTGCTCTCTGGCCCCAGCACAGCCCCTCTGCCCATGATGCTGTGCTCTGTCCTCCATCACTGTCCACTGTCTACATAGTGGGCTCTCTCCAGCCCTGAGCTAGCTGTACTAGTATGTTTGAGCCTTGACACCTGTGTCACCCTCTCCCCACAGCCCGTCCATCCAGGGACCTCCCCAGGGTGTGGGCTCCCCCACCTGTTAACTCCCCTTTCTCACAATCTGTTCTCAGACGTGTTTGAGGGCAGCAATGGCACTGTCTCTGCTTTGGGCACCTCTTCCCACCCTGTGGAGGATGTGGGATGTGGTATCATCCTTGATCCGTGGAGGACAGGACACAGCCCATGGGACTTGGTCCAGTGGCAGGTGGCCTGGCCAGGGAGGATGGTGACTGAGGTGGCCCCTGCGGCAGCATCAGCACTGGAAGTTCTTGCTCCTCCAAGCTGAGTTCCACTTGGGGGTGAAATTGGTGCCATACATCGCCTGGCAGTTTATGAGGTCACCAGGGGCCTAGGGCTGTGTCCTTGGGAAAGAACCAGGGCTCCTACCAGAACCCATCTCAGCTAAAGGACCTGACGGGACTGAGAGTGGTAGGAGCTAGAAACCCCCAGGCCAAGTCCTGAGCAGACAAGGGGTACAGCTTGGAGTGGGCAGGAGACGGACATGGAAAATGCTGCTGATGGGACCGTGTTTTCCCGCCACCAACGTGTCCCCTGCCCTCCTGCAGGTATCCGCCCCCAGATCATGAACGGCCCCCTGCACCCCCGCCCCCTAGTGGCGCTACTTGACGGCCGAGACTGTACCGTGGAGATGCCCATCCTGAAGGACCTGGCCACTGTGGCCTTCTGTGACGCTCAGGCTACCCAGGAGATCCACGAGAAGGTGAGCACTGGGCCGAGCCCTGCCAGGAGCTGTCCCCTGCCGCGGCTGCCCCTCACGGCACCAAGGCTGGTCCCTCCGTCTCTTCTCTCACAGAGGTGACCACATGGCCCTCATGCCACTAGTATGAGGACACATCTTGGGCTCTGTCCTAGGCTGGGGCTGGGGCCAGGTGCCCATGCCCTGAACGGCCTCTCTGAGCTTACGGTCTGCTTCCCCATCCAGGTGCTAAATGAAGCAGTTGGTGCTATGATGTACCACACCATCACGCTCACCAGGGAGGACCTGGAGAAGTTCAAGGCCTTGAGAGTGATCGTCCGGATAGGCAGTGGCTACGACAACGTCGACATCAAGGCTGCCGGCGAGCTGGGTGAGGGTCCCCAGGAGGCAGCTGCTCTGGCCCCCTCTGCTCCAGTGCGCGTGTGTGTTGGCGTGAGGGAGGCGCTGCCTACGTCACAGGGGACACTTGGGCGTCCTCAGCTCCAGTGCATATGTGGTGTGGGCTTGGGACCTGGGACAGAAGCATGGGACGTGTACTTGGGAGTTCTTTGCCCTTATGTACACATGCCATGGGCTTGACGTGCCACCAGCTTGATATGCCATGGGCCTGGGAGAGAAAATGCAACCCATCTTGAGTTGTTTTCCGAAGGGCTCTCCTTAAAGGCCCTCCCAGTGTCAATGAGTCCGCAATAACCAGGTTGTGTCCCACCCCTGCCTTCAGAGCTCACAGGCCACGTAGACTTAAATGTGGACCAGATCCAGGGTTTTCACATCGCTGGCCCCCCAGACCCCCCCCCCAGGTGAATTGAGACCAAAGTTGGAGAAGGGCGGCCATGTCCTGAATGTTCACACATGCAGTTCAACTCCACCCACCGCCTCTCAGAACTAGAGGGCTTGGCTTAAGTGGCTCTGAAGTCTGGGACGACGTTCACAGGTCTCTGGAAGCTGTTACACAGAGTTCCATGTGCTGTGTGGGGCTGGGGGGAACCATGGCCAGGAGCCCACCCATGTCCAGAAGCCTGTGACCTAGGCCTCCTTGTCACCAGCTCAATTTGGGTCCAGGCTCTGTGCCACCAAGAGTCCCCTTTGTAGCAACAAAGCAACTCGGAAGGACCATGCTTGGCAAGCTGGCAATGATATAAACTAAAAGTTTCCATTTTATATTCCACAAATAAGAATATCTTTTGCTGGAGCACAATGTTCTTTTTGTGCTCTTGTGGAAATGAAAGTTGAGTTTGCAGAGAGAGAGGGTGTGGGCTCCCTCCACAGGGCCTGCCTTCACAGGGAATCGCCCCTCACAGAGCTGCATGGCTGCCCCACTCCTCCCTCCCAGGCAGCTCGGGTCAGGGCGCTCATGGCCAGAGTGGCTCTCGGGGGACTTGCTGGGGACAGAGAGGCCCTGGCCTCCTAGGACAGCAGGTCCCTGGGCTTCTAGCTGAGGATGGTGACGGGTGGGATTCATGCTCCCACCTGAGGAGACGTTTGCTGAGCCCTTGAAGGGCCCTTTCCACAGGTGAGTATCACGGACACAGCGTTAGTCCACGTATTTGCCCTGGTGCCTCGGGTCACAGCCCTTGTCTGTGCTGACTCACCTGGGTGAGGGTAGTAGGTCGCCCAGCAAATGGGCTTATCTGTGATAAGACAGGTGATTTCCCATCAACCCCTAGAACTGGGCTCCAGTGCCCTGACCTATCCCCCTCGGTGGTCCTGAGGCAGGTGACACAGGAGAGGCTTTGTTAGAACAGAACAAGGATCTGGTCACTGTGGGTGGGCAGTGGCCCTGGAGCCCTCATCTGGCCTGAACGGTCAGAAGGGTAGAAAGTGGCTGGTTGTCAGAGCCCAGGCCCATCAGGTACCAACTGACCAGTGCCCACTCCTGGCGACCCCGCATACAGACTGCACCCTGAGGTTTTCAGTGGCTGGGTTTTGAAGGTCAGTCTTTGCTAAGCAAGACAGCCTGGACTTGAACCTCCAGCCTTTGATGGCCACCGACCCCATAAGCCATTTGCATCCCAGGGACAGAGCTTCAGAGCAAGCGAGGTGCTGCCCGGCCCAGCTTCTTGCAGGATCTGGGGACCACACTGCAGGCCCCTCTCCACCTTGCTGCCCAGACACTGGCAGCCTGTTCCTGCTCTGACTCCCAGAGCTGCCCTCAGCCCTGGCGACTCAGGGCTCTCCTGCTAATCGGGGCCTTGACCGTGACTCTGTCTTTCAGGGATTGCTGTGTGCAACATCCCCTCGGCAGCAGTGGAGGAGACAGCCGACTCGACCATCTGCCACATCCTCAACCTGTATCGGAGGAACACATGGCTGTACCAGGCGCTGCGTGAGGGCACGCGGGTGCAGAGCGTGGAGCAGATCCGGGAGGTGGCCTCGGGGGCCGCCCGCATCCGCGGGGAGACGCTGGGCCTCATCGGCTTCGGTATGTGGTCTGTCCACCTCAGCTGCAGGTTTCCCCCTGCCCAGCACCACCTCACTAGACATGCGAGCAGGGACTGGGGCACGGGCAGCGCTTGACCAGGTTGGGTGATGGAGGACTTCACCAAAGGATCTGAAGCCAGTGACCAGGCCAGCCTCCTCCAAGTTACCTGAGCCCACGGTGTGATGGGCTGGCAGACACAGTGTCTCTGCCTTATGACAGCAGGAGAGGGGCTGAGCTTGGGGACAATGTGATCCCAGCCCACAACAAACAACTGGTCCTCCCCGATTGCCTGTTTGTCCACTGGGAACAGGGCCGGGTGCTGTGACCATCTCAGGACTTAGGGGGAGTGCTGAGGATGAGGAGGATGGTGCATGATAGGACAGAGTTCAGATGTGGTGGTCAAAGGGTCAGGCGGAGTCGTACTCCACTCAGTGGTACTTAACATGAACAGTCCTGGGCCTGGCTTCCAGAACCATCTGTACCCACGCTGCCTCACAGCTTTTGAGTGTTTACTATGGGCTCTGACCTCGCCGACCTGCAGAACAAGATGCTCCCAGGCCTGCTCTGTTCTTACAGCTGTTAGTGCGCTCGTGGCCACCGCTGCAGCCATTGGGCATTGCGAGTGTCTCCAGCAGTCCACCTGATGGACGAGCAGTGGCCCAGGCTCTTAGCTCCGGTGGATCCAGATAACAGGCGGGATGGGCACTTTAGAAGGGCCACCCTGCCGCCTTGGCTCTGTCCCTGCTTGGAGCTGGGGCTTATCAGGAGGGCACACGCACTCACCCCACTGGGCAGCCGCTCGAGCCGTCAGCGGCCCAGACTCCCTGCTCCCTGTTGAGAAACTGGTGGATTTGGTTTTCAAACTTAGAGGTTGTCCTCCACTTAGGACACGGTTCCCTTGCCTTGATTCTGCTGTCAGTCAGTTCTAATCAAAGTCTAATCCTTTTTGATCTTTACATATAATGAACCGCACACTGCAGCAGTGTGTATAGTACACATCGTTGTCGATGGGGGGGTCACAAGATGATAATCACAGCTTTGCTACTGCCTAGGCAGCTGGGGATGACCTGTCAGATCCCTGGTCCTCTCAGGTGGGTCTCATGGCCCAGCTTCAAAGGGGCAGGTGTAATGTGGACCTGCCGTGGGGCCACTGGGTGGGTGGCCCGAGAGCCTTGCTGTGGCTCAGACAGACTCCTCATGAGTCCCTAAGCCCTCCTGAGCCCCACGTGGTCTGTGGATCCCCACACGGTAGGGGGGCATTTCAGCTGAAGTACTTGTGGGAGTCCTGTTTTTGCCTTTGCCACTGGTCATGCAGTTTCCAGACCTTTCTGTGTGATCAGGCATTCTTCCTGGGCCCGGTGTCTCCACCACTTCTGCCGTGTGACTGTTGGGGACAGACTTGGCTGAGAGGCCCCCATGAGGCAGTGGCCATCAGTGGAGAGACCTGAGCTTTGCCCCGACCAGGGCTGGGCATGGTGTGGGGCTCTGGCCATGGGGAGCTTCCAGGTTTGGAGCTGCTGAGCGGGGAGGAAAATAGAGTCTTACTGGTCCAAACAGTGCAGTCCCCTGCAAACTGGTTTTCGGTGAAATCAGAAACAGGGTGAAGTCATTGGTGTTTCACCAGTTCATTGGGTAACCTGATGGTCCAGGTTGAACTGAGGAGAAATGAGACCTGGAGGAGAGGACGAGCAGGGCCAGCGCCACAGTGCGCTCAGGAGCCGCGTTCCGACGCTGACGCTCTCAGGGCCAAGGCCAGCAGCTGTGATGGGCCTGGTGTGGAGTAGAGGCTCCCAGCAGCCACAAGCTGGGGCTTTTCACCCCAGGTCGAAACAAGGTGGGGAATGAGGGAGCCGCCAGTGTTCCCGCTCCTCCTGACCCAGTGTGCCTCACAGCTGGCACCAGTGGTGGTGACAGTGAAGTAACTTACTGCCCCGCAGCTGTCCCCCGTGGTCACGATGGTCTGACTAAACCTTGGCTTCTGTACCACAGCGACTGTCTCAGTCCTACCTGATTAGGTGGCCCTGGAGCAGAAGAGGAGAGACCCTGTGTCCTTGGGAAGTCACTGCCTCCCCACTGCACTGTCTGACAGTGGGTTCTGGACACTTCGAGTACAGCTCAGTCCACGTCACTCCAGCCACTGACTTCCCAAGGCCTGGGGTGCCGCCGAGGAACATGGGAGCTGGGTGTCCTGCCTTGCAGTGCCTATTTAACCTGTGCCCACCACGGGCTGGGGCTAGTGCAGCACACTGAGAATGGCCTTTCCCTGGAGTGATGTCCTCCTCTGGCCGGGATGCCGCAGCCAGAAGTCTGACCCAGTGTCACCGAGGGCACACCGGGCTGGCAAGCAGGCTGCGTTCCTCGCTGTTCAGTTCCGAGGGTCACGCAGAAGTGGCGTTCCTACGTAGAAAGCCAAGTTGGGGATCTGACTGTACAGGAGAGGGCTGACAGCCAGGTCCTGGTCTTGTGCAGACACACCATGTCCCGGTTTCGAACTCATGGCCTCTGGCAACAGGGCTGGAGGGTTGCTGAGGGGCGGAGCGGGCATGATTCTCACCCAGACCCTCTGTCTCCATACAGGTCGCACAGGGCAGGCGGTCGCTGTTCGAGCCAAGGCCTTCGGATTCAGCGTCATATTTTATGACCCCTACTTGCAGGATGGGATCGAGCGGTCCCTGGGCGTGCAGCGGATCTACACCCTGCAGGACTTGCTGTACCAGAGCGACTGCGTGTCCCTGCACTGTAATCTCAACGAGCATAACCACCACCTCATCAATGACTTTACTATCAAGCAGGTAACTCAGTCGTCTGGGCCCACGATGTTCTCGTGAACGCCGACAGCACCGCTGCAGGCGCAGGTGGGGATGGGCAGTGGCCCGTGGACACGCTCGTGAGCACGTCCCCCAAGATGCCAGGGTGGAGTCAGGCTGACCAGACGGCCTGCAGGCACCCAGCCTCGCTCCTGTGATGTGCTTGGTCAGGCCTCAGGCCGCTGACAGTGTGTGTGACTACATTTAACCAGCCTCTCTCCCTCCAGATGCGACAAGGAGCGTTCCTGGTGAATGCAGCCCGTGGGGGGCTAGTGGACGAGAAAGCCTTAGCTCAAGCCCTCAAGGAAGGGAGGATACGAGGGGCGGCCCTCGATGTGCATGAGTCGGAGCCCTTCAGGTGGGTTTCTGGTCTCCAGACTAGACCGGTGCCTGTGCAGCCTGTCCACACTTGACCCACACCTGGGAACTCGGGTGCTGGGCGGGGTGCTGCTCCTTGCACTGCACCCCCAAAGGGAGGCAGCCAGGGCCAAGATGGAAAGCAGTAGTAGCCTTTGGCCCCTGTGGACGGAGATGCTTCACCTGTCCTGGGAGGCGGTCCTTGCCTAGACATGACCAGTCCTGGCATCCTTAGGCGTTTGTCCAAGAAGCCCCTTCTACAGAATGGGACCCGTGTGCAGAATAGCCATGTGTGATGTCTCATGCAGCAGCTCACAGCTCTCGTTTTGCATCCTTTAGTTTTGCTCAAGGTCCCCTGAAGGACGCTCCCAACCTCATCTGCACACCCCACACGGCCTGGTATAGTGAGCAGGCCTCACTGGAGATGAGGGAGGCCGCTGCCACTGAGATCCGCCGAGCCATCACAGGTGAGCCTCTCAGGGATGCTGGGGCCCAGGGCACCACAATGGTCACGGGGCGGGCACTTTACTGCATGCTGGAGTAACTCACAGGTGTCATCTCCATTCAGTACTGGGCGAGTTGGGCCCAGCTAGTTAGAGGAAGCCAGTCCCTTGTCATCACAGCACTTTATGTGTGGCAGCTCCTGGACCATGGCCACCGGGGCAAGGTCCGGCTGGAGGCAGGTGAAGAGCACTGTAGGCGGGCACTGGGACATTCACGTCTGGTGCCAGTTCTGGAGGCTTTAATGTTAGACTCTCGCATTGATACAGATGCTTTCCAGAATATTTCCGTCATCCTGACCCTTAAAAAAATTACTTTGACTGCAGGTCGCATCCCAGAAAGCCTACGAAACTGTGTGAACAAGGAATTCTTTGTCACCACAGCACCTTGGTCAGTAATAGATCAGCAGACAATTCATCCGGAGCTCAATGGTGCCACGTACAGGTGAGAAGGGGAAGTGCTAGTGGACGCCCTTGAGGGAACTCCTGGGAAGTCCATCTACCCAGCATCCAGGATAGAGCCCAAGACTGGAACGGGGGACGAGGGAGAGAAGGAAGAACCAGAGCAACCTCCCTCCGAGGTGTTGTGGGCAGGAAAGTAGACACGATTTACCAGTTAAAAGCTGCTGCTGCTGCAGCTGCTTATATTTTTCTAAATTGACTTTCTAACAAGGAATTCCTTTTCAAAGAGGGATGACAGTATATTATATTCTGGGCCAGCAACAGGACCTAGATAAGAGAGAAGAACCGCTTCTGCCCCCAGAATTGCTCTGTGCTGGGGAGATCACTAGATTCCACATTAACAGGAACTGTAGCCTCATACAAAAGGAGGGTATTATGTTTATGATGACTTGAAAGCTGGATTTTCCAAACTCGGGACCACCTGCACTGGGGCCATCTTCTAGAATATTCTATAGCATCCCTGCTCTGTCCTCACTAGGTGCTAATAACACTCCCTGTACCAACTGTAACAGCCAGCAAGGTCTCCAGAAAGTGCCAGGCAAGGTGTGTCATTTAACACGTTGCTGCAAATGACGGCAAATGTGTTTCTAAGCACAGTCATCAATTTTAAAAGTGGGCGGCAATCTGTTAATAACCAACCCGTTGAAGCTGCCTCCTCTCAGCTGGTGGTTTGAAGTGCCTTTAGCCAGTACATAGCCCCAAAGTACCCCTCCATGAAGGTCCTGGAAGTTCCTTTCCCCGGGCCATGTGGCCCCCGTTCCTACTTCTTGTTGCTGGAGCCCACCAGAGCCAGGTCCTCATCTTATCATGAACCATCAGGCAAGCCTTGTGTGGTATTCTGCCTGAAAGACAGGAAGGACCTCATGGAGAAAGGATGTGATGGCTCTACGAATCAGATCATTCTAAATAAAGCACCTGCCAGCAATCTCCTCACAGTCAGTCACGTGTGCCTGACGTCAGCACACAGCTAAGCATGACACACAACACCTCAGGCATCAAGCTGTAACCTCACGCCACAGGACGCCTGGGTGGGTGCCACTGCACAGCTGCAGGCCTGGGAGCACGTGACTCCTCCCCACACTCGGCACAGACAGTACCTGTCAAGTAGTAAACACTCCAGAAACTACACTTTGCTCCCAACAGTACATCTACTTCTCTTCACGTTTTTTTTTGCTCGGGCACCAAGTGATGCCGCATCAGTGCTGTAGTGCTGGCTCAGGAGCGCTCTGAAAACGGCTGTCTTGACCCAGAGACCAAGGAGGCGGCAGTCTCCTTCTGAGCGGCGTCCACCCTCCCGAATTCCCACCACGTCAGCTGAGTGGTTCCACACCCTTGCTGCCAGATTGAGATTGTCTTACAGACTGTGGTTGGTCAGGGTTTGTGGCTGCTTGAAGATTGTTGTTGTGTGCTGTCATGTCAGAAGTGACCCATAGCTGACCCTCCAGTGGGTTTTCAGAGACAGTAAATCGCACGCGAGGAGCATGCCCATCCCACTACCTTGGCATTGCAGCACCGCTTCTTACCTCTAGGCCCCCAAAGCTCCCTTGCGACGTAGATAACATTTCATAAAAGAGGACGAGCTTTCCTGCTCTGCTCTGGGTGTAGGAAGGATGCACAGGTGACGTCAGCAAGGTGTTCTAACCGCTCTCTCATGCAGGTACCCTCCTGGCATCGTGGGCGTGGCCCCGGGAGGACTGCCAGCAGCCATGGAAGGCATCATCCCCGGAGGCATTCCCGTCACGCACAGCCTGCCCACCGTGGCACATCCTTCCCAAGCCCCTTCTCCCAACCAGCCCACAAAACACGGGGACAGTCGAGAGCACCCGAACGAGCAATAGCAGAAGACGCCACAAGGCCATCATTCAGATAAGCCTGGGACCAAGAGACCGTGAACAGCAGAGTGTGACAACAGGGACTGGACAGTCTTCGTAACTGATTCTGGACACAACGCATCATCGCTGTCACAGTACTGAAGCCACAGATGAGTGAAGCCGAGACCTGGAAAAGCCATGGATGCTGGCTGCTCCCCAAGCGCTGAGAGACTAGGGCTGATTTCTTACAGACCAACTTCTGTTATTGTGTGTTAAGTTTCTCACCTGTGCATCAAATCACCAAGAATAAATAGATCTTTTCCTTTATCAGTCCCTTGGGCACAGCAGGAGAGCACCTTGCTCTAGAATGTTGCATCACAAGTTGCAAACATCAAAATAAAAATGTAAAGAGGAAACCCCCACCCTCCTGACTCTAGTCCCTTTGGTCCCCGGGGGGGGGCCAGGTACCTCTTTTGCTGATAGGAAAATTACATTTCAACAAGGTGGGGAGAAAACTGCCTGCCTGTGTTAGAGGCTAAGACAGTGCTGGCTCCTGTGCACAGAATTCCTCCTGCCCGAACTGTGCTGAGCACGCAAAGTTGGCTGTATGGCCAGTGTACCCTTTGATGATGCAAAAAAAAAAAAAAGAGTATTAAGTTTCACAAGCTGTTTGTACTCAAATATATTTTCTCAGTTTCAGATCCTCAGCTATTTTATTGAGTGGAAAGTCTTGAATGGAAAGGGTTCAAGAAGAATAATGTTGCATTTCCTTATGTCTCAGGAAACACTTTTTATGGTAACTTGTCAGATTGTCTATGAACAAACCCACTTTTTTAGACATTGATAAAGTCTTCTTTTCTTCACGTGATATTTTATACAAGAACACTTCAGATGTGTTATTAGATGTGACTGATTTTAACAAATCCTATTAGATTTGTATCAACTAGTTACATGTTATATTCATAGTCTTTTGTGAATCATCGCCTTTTTGTTGAAAAAAAGATGGCCTATTTTGAGCCTTTGTATAGGTACATTCCTGTTTTTGTGACAAAAGAAAAAAAAAACCCAACCTTTACAATTGTCCCAAACAGAAAAACAATGGCGATCAGGAGTCTGTTTTGTTTCGTGTGAGTTACTGTTACTGTATCTGTTTATTGTAAAGGTGGACATTTAGCGTTCAGTGCCGTTTTCAATAAAAAGTAATAAAAATTTCTGGTAAGTTCTGAAATTCAAGCACATCTCATCAATGTAAATGTTTTCTGAGATGTTAGAAGGCAAGGAATTTTCGATTAGCCCAGCTCCAACATGCATCACCTCAGGTGCCCGCCAACTCCCTCCGGAAGCCCATCTTCACTCAGTGCTCCTGGAGAAATGGTGGCTCACAACTCAGATTCAGCAAACAAAAGCTGGTCAGGTTTTAGTTTTGATTTTAATTTACCCGAAAGCATATCACTACAGGAAGGGGATGGTGAAATCTCAAACTTGGTGGGAAGTGGGTCAGTCACTTGATTGTAGTCATAAAGAAATGTTCAAAAAGAATTCCCATCAGCCATTTCTATAGATTAGGAACTTCCTATGGCGTTGACCAGCCTCTGCGGCTGGTGTCGGGTCCCCTCCAGGAACTCTGGGTTCTAAGCTCACTTTTTAACATTCCCTTCCTCCTTCCTAAACAGAAAGCCCCAGGCAGGTTTCTTGAACGTCTGACTGATGGGGCTTCTACCACTTGATCCTGCAAAACTGCAAGGAGCTGGAGAACTCAGCCTGTCATCTGGACGGGCAACAGGGCAGTGGAATGCCTGCTGAAAGGCCAGGACAAGCAGCAGCGCTGCCCTCTCAACGCAGGCTGGCATGCAGCATCAGACACTCCCATCTGGTAGCTCATGTGGTCCTTGGGGGACCCAGGGAAGGAGGAAGTCAGAAGAGGCTGCACTTCAGTCTGCCTAGAAAGGGAGCCACAGAGTGAGGCTACCATAGCCATCGCTGCCCAGAACATTCATACCTGTCGCTCAAGCATGTAAGATCTTGGGACACCTACATGGCTATTTAATAAAAAGAACATCACTCCAATTTATCCAAAATGTTTGCCATTAACAGGCGATTTGAAAATGAAAACCATTAAAAACCCTTATCTCTGTTCGCAGGGGTCTGGGAATAGAAGTCCTTGATCGTTTCCCACAGGGAAGAACAAGATGTGGACAGTTACCTAAATCCAGGGCAGCTTGGAGCACTCACCAGGCCATTTCCTGGATGGCTGCAGTGCAGCCCACTCCCCTCACACGACAGCACAACTACTTTCCTAGTCACTCCCGAATGGAAATGCTGCAGATGCCGTATCTGCCGGAGCGGTGGCCTCAAAGAACAGCGTTCATTCTTAACTAAAGCAGGCCAGTTAAGTTTGAAAGAACGAACTCGGAACTTTAACATTTACCATTAAAATTATCAAAGCTAATTTATATGGAAACACTACAAAAACATTTTCCTTCCCAAGTTGTAGCATGCAACCAACTCATCTCCTGGGCTCGCCGTTCACAGAGTGTTAGAAGGGCCAAGCCGTCCTGGACAGCTTCCTGTTGTCCGCATTCCACCATCATATGAGGTGCACATTTCAACACCATCGAAGAAAACAAGCAGCAAATGTGATGGTTTTCACAGCCTTTTCCTCAAAGGAGGGGAAGTGCGATATATGGCATCTTGCCACATCAATTACATAGAGCACTAAACCAGGACACACTGGTGTTCCTGAGGTGGGTGTGACATTTTCACCAATATTGAATGTAAACCTGAAGTAGTCAAACACTTAATACATAAAGTTTTCTACTTAAGATTATAGTTTAGACCTTAAAGAAGAATGGCCACAGTTAAACCATCAGGCAAAATTCTCAGTGCATACTGAGAAAATCCATTCTACAATGCTTTTAAACCACTTTAGTGCATTTTTAGAAATCTTTATTCTGTAATGAACTGATATTCCTCCTTAGCCTAAGTAAAGGCATGCCCTCCTCCTAACAGGATTTGATATTTAAAGCCTAGTTGATGATAAAAGACAGTAAAAATCTGAAGACCTTCTGTATGTAACATTTTCAATCGGGTCCAAGTGGCCAATTTCACAGTTACTTGTGCTGCATCAGGCCTCGGCCTCAAGCACTTCCCCTCTGCTGCGTCTGGGGAAGACTACTCAGGCAGGCCCTGCCCAGAATGCAAGCTCCTCTCAGGGCCACTCTTCCAAACAAACAAATAAAGGGGACAGTATCAACTTAAAAAGAAGAAATTTTAAGTTTTGTTTTTAAAAAACAACCAAATAAATACTTTTCCCCAGCAAGGACTGTATGCAAGTCACTCAATAAAAATTCTGAACTTTTCTTGCAGTTTGTTCCTTAAAGATTTGATATGATTTTATTGGGCATAACAGGAACTAATTAATCAAATAAAAACTTATTTATTTTTATGTTTTACTGTGGATAATTTATACCAAAAGAAAAATAATGTCAAATGGCTAATGAGTTCTAGTGATATCGTAAGTGAAGGGGCCTCGGCAGTAACGGAGAGTCAGGTTCCGCCAAGGACACCTCAAAGGAAGAGTCTCCACCATGTGCTTTTGTAAGTGCCCACGCTGGAAGGAAATCTCAATGATAGGAAGATGCTGGTACGACGTTTCCTATTACACAGCTCCTTGTGAGCTGATTGTGCCAGCTGGGGTGGTGCTGTTCCCCCGACAGGCGTGCAGCACCACACCAGCTTGGGTGCGGCAGAGTCTACGTCTCCTGCGCACTGGCTGCTTCATTCATCTTCATCATCCTCGTCTTCCTCACCGTCAGATAGGGATGTGCAGGGCCGGATCTGTCGGTAACGGTCAAGCCATTTCTCCACCATCTGAGTGACCAAAGGGTGATTTCGCCTGCAGGAGCTCTTCTGCATGGCAACGAGAACCCCGCCTTCAGTGACGCAGCAGTCCAGCCACTGTCGGAGCAGCTTTTCCCGCTGTTCCTCGTTACCTAGCTTTTAGGGGCGGGGGGAGGGCAAACAGCAAAGGCTGGTTAGGGCAGATTCCAAGGGGACCGGGAAATCAGCAAACCTGGTTCAAGCCCATGGAAAGGTTCCCACATCTGTGGAAACGGCTTAACACAGCAATGAAGAACCTGAGGCCACTTTTAAGTTTGCAGAAAAATCTATCAGAAGAGGCTATGGAGCAGCCCAATCTAGACAGCTAGGGCTGGGATAATGACGACAGAAAGCCGGTATTACACACTGATCCTGGCAGAGGGAAGACCAGAGAAGGAAGGCCTCTACTCGCTACAGGCAGATGGCAGGGGAAGTCGACCCAGCAGTGTGGTCAAGTGCCACAAATTGTAGCCCAAAGTGAGGTTTCCCCTCCTAACATGGTGATGGTTGGTGAACAAATGAAACAGAAGTCCAGTAATCTGATAACAAATCTCTTGGCTCCCAGTGTACCCCCCACCCCCAATCACACCACAGCCCAGGGACCTGGACAAACACCAAGCAGCCTGTGTTCAGAACACAGCTACACAGTGGATCTCCAACTCAGGCAGAGCCAAAGACTGAACTTCAGATGGCACCCCAGTACCCTTGACCACCCTTTCCCTCCCCTTGTCCAAGTCCTAGAAGCCACACTCATCTGCAGTTCCTTCACACATGCTCTTCCCAAAATTCTGCAAAATACACTTCTTCAGGGCTTGAGTCACAAAGGGCATTATTTAAACCCCCAGCCCTCTGACCACCCCCATTTCGCTTTCCCATACAGGCAGAGGCACAGATTCTAGCTCTAGTCAGCTGTCCCATTCCACAGCAGTTCTGAGGTGTGTTTCAAAGTCTACAGAATCTACACAAAGTGGCAATTACTTCCCCAAAACCATTCATACAGCTGCCACCACACCTGAAAGACACAGCTTCCCACTAGAGGCAGAGCTCAGGTGCCCACTGCTTACCTCCTGAGCAGACAGGAAGTGTACGTGGAGTAACTTCCTCTCACTGTCAACCAGAGGCAGAAACGTGATGGTGACGTCATCGTCTGTGTTCAGGTTAGCACCAGCACCTCGATTGCCATAGCCGTCATTTTCCATGGCAACCAAAGCAGAGAAGTGGCCTCGTGTGTAGCCCAGAGCAATCGGACTTTTCCAACAAAAACTCTGTTCCCACAACAGAGGCAGATAAACACCTGAAAAGAGAAGGAAGATCTGAGGGCTGGCCAGGCAGGGCGCCCAACCCACCCCTGCACCGTTTTCCCACTGGTCATTCCCCTTGATGGCTTACCTTGAAAGCGGGTATATCCTAAGGTTTCACCCCGGAAACTCTTGTAATATTTTACGCCATAAACTATGATTGGTCGTCTAAGAATATGTGCAAGTACAAAAATGTGTGTCTGTTCCAAACTTGCTCCAGGCTGCAAAGAACACAGGGAGGAAAAGCCATTTCTCATTAGGATATTGATTACCATCCCTGGAAAATGATGTCTGAAAAGAAAACTACCTCTTAGTACACAATCTTCATTCTTTTTTTTTTAATAGTTGCCTAGAGTTAGATATTTGTATTTTAACAAACGTTTACAGAACACTTGGATTTTCATTCATTCCGTGTTGCACATTCTCTTCCCTACTCCCCCCAGTCGCTTTTCTCTTTTAAAAGATTCTTTCATTGTTGCACAATTTCCTCCCTCCTCCTCCACCCCCACCCCCACCCCCCACCCCAGGCCACTTTGCTATGCACCTCTTATTCTGGACGGGTGTCATGCAAGTAACATCTAAATCATACATTTATTTTAGACAGTTCTTTCCATCTATTTAAATGCACTCATTATTTATCCCCTCTTTTCTTAGTTCTCCTCAACCACTATGCCAGTCCTGTTTTATACCAGTGGCATTATACAGTATTTTTCCTTTTGTGACTGAGGTATTTCACTCAGCATAATGTCCTCCAGGGTCACTCATTTTGTATAATATTTTGAGTTCCTTGTTTTTTAGTGATGCATGCATTGTGTGAATATACCACAGCTTCTCTATCTATTCATTTGTTGATGGGCACTTGGGTTGCTTCCATTTCTTTGTTATTGTGAACAACACAGCAATAAACATGGGTGTCCATGTATCTGTTTGGGCATTAGTTCTGGTTTCTCTAGGGTATATTCCCAGTAGTGCAACTGCTGGGTCAAATGGTATTTCTATTTCCAACTTTTTAAAGAAGCACCATACAGTGAACTTCCAGAGTGGATGCAGCATTTTACACTCCCACCAACAGTGAGTAAGGGTTCCCATTTCTTCACAACCTTGCCAACATATGTTGTTTGCTGCTCTGCTGAACTTTGCTATTGTTACTGGGTTAAGAAGACATCTCATAGTTGTTTTGATTTGCATCTCTCTTAGAGCTACAGATTTTGAACATTTCTTCACGTGTTTGTTCACCAACTCAATGTCTTTGGAGAAGTGTCTATTCATATCCTGTGCCCATTCTGAGACTGGGTTGTTTACTTTTATCTTGCTGGGATGCTGAAGTATTTTATAAATTCTACAAGTGAGTCCCTTATCAAACATGTCATTACCAAGTATTTTTCCCCAGTCTGTGGCTTTCCTTGTTATCTTGTTGGAAAAGTTTTTGGATGTCCAAGTGAATAGGGATTTGATTATCAGAAGATCCCATTCATCTATGTCATTCTCTCCTGGGTGTAGGTTTTTTAGGATGCTTCAGAGACTGTTCATGTTGTGGATTAGGGCTTCTAGAGTTCTTCTAAACTTTCCTCTGATGAAGTTTATAGTCCTTGGTTTTAATCCTAGGTCCTTGATTCACACTGAGTTGGGTTTTGTGTATGGTGTGAGGTGTGAGTCTTGAGTTTTCTACAGAAAGTTTTGCAATTCTGCGAACACTATTTATTAAAGAGGCTTTCGTTTCCCCACTTAACTGATTGCCATCTGCTTGTCAAAAATCAGTTTTCCTTAGGTAGATGGCCTGAATTTGGGGTTCTCAATTCTATTCCATTGATCTGTGTGTCTGTAACTGTACCAGTTAGTGTGTAGTAGAATTTGAGAGCAGGGAGTGAGATGACTCCTACATTGTGTCTCTTTTTCAGGAATGCTTTGCTTATTCAGGGTCTCTTTCCATTCCAGATGAAACTGGAAATTGCTTTTTTCCATTTTGGTGAATAATGGAATTGGTATTTGTACTGGGATTGTACTCAACTTGTAGACTGCCTTCGGGAGAATTGTCATTTTCATAATACTGAGTCTTCCTATCAAAAACATGGTATATTCTTCACGGTATATTTCTGCAGGTCTCACTTTGTTTCTTATAGTAATGTTTTGTAATTGTCTTTGAATAGGTCTTTTGTGCTTCTAGCTAGGTTTACTCCCAAATATTTAATCTTATGATTAGCTATTGTGATAGGTATTGATTTTCTTAACTCCAGTTCTGTATTCTCTTTGCGCCGTAGAAAAATTCAACTGGTTTTTGTATGTTGATCTTGTATCCTGCCACTTTGCTGAATTGGTCAACTATGTCCAGTAGTTTTCTCGCTGAGTCTTTAGCATTTTCTAAGTATATCATTCATTCTTTTCTTAAAAAAAAGCATTGACCTAAAGAAAGCATTTGATGCCTCAAACGGCAAAGTCAAAAAAAATAGCAACAAGAATCTACAAAGTCTATCTGTAGTATACTTTACTGCCTAATTTTAAGGACTGAACAAAAAGAATAAATACTTGGAGATTATACACTGCAACTCCAATTTAATCTCCATAACTGCTGCACGTCTTGGGAACCTAAACGGTCCTTGGTCTGGTCACCAAAGTTCCATGACAAGGGTAAGCTCTCGGGGTGAAAGGACGCGATGTCACCCCACAGATGCTCAGCAGTGGATTCCCTCCCTCTCGAGTCCCATCCCCGCAACAGCTGATGGGACATGGGGCCACGAGGTACATGTCTCAGGTGGGAAATGGCCACTGTAAACTCTGTCCAAAGACAGAAGGGACAGCGATGGGGTACAGTGCATGTCCCTACTTACTCCTCAGGGTGAACGGTGCGGTCTTCTGGAAAGAACAAGATTGGGTTTACTATATTCAAACTTTACAATTTGGTGTATACTGAAAACCAGGATGAAGCGTAAAGATCACACAGGTATCTCAATCCTAGCACATTTCTACCATATTCAGAAATAAATCTGAGTATTAAGAAACCAGTTCCGGAGCACCCTGCCATCACTCCTGTTAACAGCATTACTCTGGATAGTTCTGGAGAAAGCCAGACTGCACTTTCTCTTTTGTCCGCGCTGTGTGGAAGCAACCTCCCCATGGAGCAGCCTTCTGAAGAGCCCAGAGTCAGCAGAAGCAAGCCTGCTGGCTAGTGCCCACCTCATGGTCACTAACCTGGAGGCAGGCAGTAGAGGGTAGATCACCTTCCTGAGAGAGCAATAGAGATCAGGATCTCATTATTCTTACAGGATTGGTTTTGCCCACACCTGATCTAAAAACACAGTGGTGACTTCTCCTCCTGTACCACAAGTGTGGACTTGAGAGTTACAGAGGTGATAAACAGTCATGATTGGAACTCAAGTTTCCTGCTGCCAGGGCAGTGCTCTTGGCCCCAGACTCCACTCCCTGCAACATGACTCCTCTGTGGAAATAAGGGATCAAGAACACACACACCTGGCTTGTCTCAGAGAAGTCACTGGCCTTGAAGCCTTCTTACCTGACTGGCAAGCGAGAGGATGAATGCCCAGTCTTCTTGCCACTGCTCTTCCCTCAGGGAAAAATGTAAACCAAAGCTCTGCGAATACCAGGACTCCCAATCTTTCCAGCGTGTATAAAACCTACAGAAACAAGAGAGGAAGAAATAGGGCTTTTCTAAACAGTGCATTTCACATTTCAAAAATTTATCTGATAGCCTTTAAGCAATTCATATGAAGAGAATCTTATCAATTTCATCTGGCTTGAAATAGTTTTCAAATTAAAAATGGCTTTGTTCTGCTAGCCAATCTCTTTTTCCTCTTTTTTATCTCAGTGAAAGTTTACAAATCATATTGGTTTTCATTCAATCATTCAGACATTTTGTTTTATACACTGATAGCCAATCTCTCTCAGCATGTCCTCAGCCAGAATCTGATTCATCCTCCCACCGAATTTTCATTTAGGACTTCACAATGCTGCGATGAAAAAGGCTGAGATGCTGGTCCCAAGCCTCAGGACCACAATTTCAAGGGAAATGAAGGACAAGTGGCATCAAAGGGCCTATGGAGACAACGTTCTGCACCCTGATCTGTCAAGTAGTAAGGGGGGGGTCTTTCTAACTTCCATCAAAGGTGCAACTATGGGTCTTTTCCTGTCTAAGGTAAAGAAGAGTGAAGACAATTAAAGAAGCATGAAAACAGTCCATGACACTAAGGAACCTCAACCTCCCAGAGCTCGAGGCCAGAACGAGATGGTACCTGCTCTTCAGTGCTGACTGTGCTATGAGGGAGCACAGCAGGGAGGCCTGGATGGACTTGGGGGAAATGTGGAGAAGTCCCAACCACACAACAGCCAGGAGGCTTACTGGTCTTACAAAGACTTGGGGAACAATCAAAATTACAACTCTTAGTCACGTGTGGGTCTGAGCTGAACTCAGCCCTGTGGCTCAACCTTCTAGCCCACAAGCTGCTGAGAGTGAGAGAGGCGATTACAACGTGGGGACTGTGAACCCAGCCAGTCGACAAAACGCGCAGCAACAGCTGAAAGGAACCCCAACCTGCTCTGAACATGTTCACCACATCGTGACAAAGAGTTAAAAGAAGACTCACTGTCAAATGAGTTCTTCTCTCAGCACAGAACAGGAGTCAGGCTGCCCACCCTCCCCATCCCACCTGTTATGGTCTGACTAGCTGCATGTCAGTCAACACAAAGACAAAACATGTCTCCTCCACTAAGGTGGGTGTACTTGGCCCTAACCCTGAAGCCAAGATCTACAGCTGTCTGCCATGGCGGCGGTACAGAAGTCTGCTGCTTGCCTGTAATGCAGACCACAGAGAGAAGAGGTCCAGATGCAGGAACAGAAACAGTGAGGCGAGGCACTTTGCTGGGGAAGCTGGTCCTTACTTACGAGGCACTACTCAGGAGTCATGGCCTCTATTTACCAAAGTTCGCTGGCAATGAACTGTGGTGAACACACAGCCCAGTTCCCTCACCCGCTAATGGCCATTGTCATGGCCAGTCAACCATCTGTGATCCCAGAGGACAGTGCTCTTCCTTCTCTACCTCCATTCTAGATTTCTAGGATTTTAAGTGACTCCAACCATCACAGAATGCCAGTCTTAAAAATTAGTAATAACACCAATTCAGACCACATGGACAACTTAATCAATGGTTCTTAGGTATCACACTGGGGATACGGTCAGGTAGGATTAGAAAGCTGTCCTTAAAGATGCACACTGACCTACTGGAAGGGAAAGCACTATGCTGCTGTCTGCAGAGGAATCCCTTTGTTTACGTGTCTGGGGGTTTGGAAAATTTGCAAAATACAAAACTAAATGTCTCTTAAGACAATCTTTGGAAGCAGGAGTGGTATCCACTTCCTAAACATGCCTCTGGAAACTATAAAGTTTAATCAATTACAATAGTTATAGAAAGGCTTCAGGCCTTTTGTTCACAGGGTTGCTATGAGTTGTGCTTGACCTGACGGCCATCAATAACAACACTATCTGTCTTAAGAAGGGAAAAATCCTCATTGTACAATTTTAGCATAATCTCTTCAAGTTGAGGAAAAAGATGAACTCTTGCATTCTGAGGAGAGGAGCCAGCCAGAGCGGCCTGGTCTCTACTGGGGAGGATGTGAACAGACGGCAGCTCACCAATGGGAACAGTCATGCAGGCTGTCATGCAGGGCCTTCCGAAGCACTGAGTCCTTGTCGTAGATGCCCCACGTGGCTTGCAGTACTGAGTCAAGTAAGCAGTCTCCTGCTGTGCGGTTCCAAAGTGCATACAGTCTGCTGTCCAAGCGGGAAGCCAACTCCAGGGACCAGTTTATGATCGGAGACTCTTCTTCTAACTCTACATGAGGAATTTAAACGACATGTTCATTTTCATGTAAATATGCAAACTTCATCAACTAAAATATAAAGCCTTTGAGGGAGAAGCTGAAATATTTTGTGCAAATAGAAATGTGCTCACTCTGGAGGAGGAAACAGAAAACTAAGGTTCATGGCACTGTGAGTCGGGCCTGGATGGACTACACTCAGTCTTCTGGTTCACTCTACCACAGGCAAGAGTTTTTATGAGCACCTTTAAAATTCACCTGACAATTATTCAACACTGTTTTCCAAGGGTTTTTTAATTTAAATTCCATTTAAAGGAAGATGGCCACACTCTTTCAAAGGTTGCAGCACAAGGCCAGAGGCTAACTGCTCAGATCAAAGTCAAAACCCTGCAGACCCAGCTTACCTTTCTGCACATCTCTATCAAGCACCTCATCAAATAATTTTTCTTGGACAGTTGGGGGCAAATCTTCAATATCTACAAAGAAAAAGATCTTCTTATGCTTCATAACTGAATAAACATGACAGGCTTCTAACAGTAACTTCCTCTAAAATAATTCCCTTTCAACTGAAGGCTGTCAAGTAGCTTGCCTTAAAAAACGTGCATGTAAATTATGCATTTGTGCCTCATAACGACTTTTCTATTTCATTATCAAAATGCCTACTAACTTACTACACCAGTAACCACATGGACTCTTTGTGTTCCTTTCCCACATGTTCCACCTCTGTCCTGGTCTGTGCTTTGCACACTTTAGTGTTGTCTTACGTAAAAGTTAATCCACTATTCATTCTAACACACAGGTGTGTTTCTAACATCTTCCCCAAACTTTCTATGCTCTACTTAATTTATTTTCTAGAGTAGCTTTTTTTGTTAGGTGCCACTGAATTACCTGTGACTCTTAGCGACCCTATGTACAACAGCTCTGAACTGTATTCTATCCTGAGCCAATTTTGTTGTCACTGACATACCTACCTCCGTTTCCTCAGTTACTGAGTTAATCCATCTCACAGCTTTGGGGCATTTATAAATGGTGGCAAATAACCAAGCTGGTTAAAATCAGAGCAAGTTTCGTCTGAAATTCCCTCTTTCTGTCTGTCTGTGTTTGTGTGTGTGTGTGCGAGCGCACGTGTGCGTACACATAAACATATTTTAGCTGGTTCTATTTTTAAAGATAGTATTTCTTATCTTTAAAAATAAATTTTAAAAAAAGCAAAATTTAAAAATCTAATCAACAGGAAGCTTCAGAACCCAGACGGCAGCTTTGTTTTCAGAACTTGTTTGCTACATGTATTCAGTTAGAGCGCACAGAATGTACTGGAAGGTATTTTCACTTGTCGCTGAACTGAAAAATCTACAGTTGCATCACAAGCAAATTTACAAGCAAATTTAAAACACATGTAATGAATGAAGGAAAAAAATGGTCCTTTAAAGGGAATGCCAGTATCTGTGACGGAAATCATCTGAAATTCTATTCCAGCCACCAACAGCTACTTAATTTCAAACATATAAGCATAAAAAGGGAAAAGCAGAAAGACAATATTCTAAAATAAAACCTCAGGAAGAAAAAACTCAATTATTTTGTAAAACTCATATTAATAACAAATTAGGAATATTACAAAAATGGCTTGCTTAGACATTTTAATATGTTAGTTACCTCAACGGTAATTATTGCCTATGAATGATTAGGTAAAAAACCCAATGAGATTTGTAGACTTTCACTCAAATAAAGTAGATTTTTTTTTAAAAAGCTGAGGTTCGTACATAAATTGGTTACCATCAGCTGCTCTCTTCCTTCCAGACATCTTAAAGGATTTTACAATAGCAGCCTCATACACTTCCAGCAGAAATTGGAGAGTTAACCAACCTAAGGGCAAACACTGTAGCTAAGTCGTCCACTTTCTAACAACACTACGTTTGTCACCCATCCACTAAAACACAAAGACGGTACGGCTGAACTTCCTTCCCCACACACACACGGAAGTTACCTGCTGGCAGCGTGAATGTTACAAGGTCAGTCAGAAAATAGCAAGCAAAATCGCCCTTTCTCTGATGGAGAGAAGCAGCAATCTCCCTCCGGATCTGCTCCGTCAGTTCTGGACACACCATTGCGGGAATACACTTCGCTGCTTGCTGAGATACCTTCAATACAAAAACAAAACTTTGCTCTTCATCTCATTCACCACAAAGAAAAGCAGAAAACTGTACTTCAAAGGTAGTTATTAACACTTTTTAGTAATTCAAGTTTCTTTCTTTTGCTAAATCTTGGCTTCTACCAGCTACTATTTTTCTACACTGCTCTATGACTTTCCCAGAAAATAGCCACAGAGAAGTTTTTATCCTTACTCCTTAATTTTATCCCAGGGAAATATACAAAGACTCACAAAAAGATGTCTGTAAAATTATGTTTTTCAGAAAGGTACAACATAGAAGGGAAGGGGGACCATTAAACAATCTTAGTAAGACTAACCATCAGACTCAAGAAAAACCAAGGAATTTGTCTTTAAGAAGGCTCAGAGAGAGAAGAGGGCATGAGAGACAGTCTTCGCAGAGTCGCCAGTCTCCTGATTCAACAGTGCTTAAACTGAACCTGTCACGCTCATCAGCGTCTCCTCCACCAGTCATTTCCAGCCAGTTCTCCGCCACCTCCTCACATCAGCAACCTCCAGACACCCCAAGGTCCTGGCCTCTGCTCCAGCGCCACACAGCCACCACCTCACCCCTGCCACCATGACCACATCCCCTTCACAGGTGCGCCTAAACTATGAGGACTCAGAGGCTGCCATCAACCACTAGATTAAACTGGAGCTCTATACTTCCTCTGTCTACCTTTCCATGTCTTACTACTTCAACTGTGATGATGTGGCTTTGAGGAATTTTGCCAAACATTTTCTCCACCAATCACACAAGGAGAAGGAACATGCTGAGGAACTGATCAAACTGCAGAAGCAGCAAGGTGGCCTCATCTTCTTCCAGGACGCTGAGAAACCAGATCACGATGACTGGGACAGGGGGCAAAAGGTAATGGAGTGTACGCTACACACAGAAAAATGCGAGCATCAGTCTCTGCTGGAACTGCACAAACTGGCCAGACAAGAACGACGCTCATCTGTGTGACTTCACTGAGATGTACCACATGGATGAGAAGGTAAAATCCATCAAGCAACAGGCTAACTTCGTAACTAATTTGCGAAAGTGGGTGCCCCGGCATTGGGCCTGGCAGAGCAGATCTTTGACAAGCAGACCCTGGGAGACAGAGAAGGCGAGAGAGGAGTGAAGCTTTAGCCTGGCTCCCCATAGCCACAGGGGTGTCTTCCATGGTCAACACCAGGCCAACTGCATGTCTTATTTTACCTTTTCTATAAATTGTATCAGAATACTGCACTAGAGGACCAAGAAGACAAAGCAAAAGGAAGAAATCATGACGTTAAAGAGCTGAATAGAAGATTTCAAAGGGCAGCTTGGAAAGACAAGGCTGAGTATTATAATGAAAGTTGCAAGGAGCTGGAATCTGAAAATCAAAGGGGCTGAATTTGCTCGACATTTATTAACCTGAAGGAACTACAGAACAAATTGAAGCTGCGAGCTGTCATACTTAGGGATACTACGGGCAGAATATTCAATGATTCAGGAAGCATTAAAAGAAGATGGAAAGAGTATACAGAATCACTGTATCAAAAAGAATTGGCTGGCACAGAAGAATTCCATAAACAACATAGAAGGAAGAGGCAATGGTGATGAAGGAGGAAGTTCAGCCTGCTCTGAAGGACGTGGCAAAATACAAAGTCCCAGAAATTGATGGAATACCAATTGACATATTCCAACAAACTGATGCTACCCTGGATGTGCTCATCAGGTTGTGCCAAGAAATGTGGAGGACAATTACTTTGGCCAACTGACCAGAAGAGACCCATATTTATTCCCATTCCAAAAAAAGGTGGCTTGACAGATTGTGGAAATTACAGAACATCACTAATATCACACACTAGCAAAATCCTGCTGAAGCTGATCCAGAAACAACTGGAACAGGATACTGACAGAGGACTGTAAGAATACAAGCTGGGTTTAGAAGACGTCATGGCACCAGAGACATTACGGCCAATGTCAGATGGATCCTGGCAGAAAGCAAAGAGTACGGGAGGAATGTCTATCTGTGTTTCACTGACTGTGCAAAGGCATTTGACTGTGTGAATCACAACAAATTATGGCTAACATTGAGGGAAATGGGAATCGCAGAACACTTGATAGTGTTTATGTGAAACATACTTGGATCAGAAAGCAGTCCTCAGAACAGAGCAGGGAAACACTGCATGGCTCAAAATCAGGAAAGGAGTGCATCAGGGATGCATCCTGTCTCCACAACTTTTCAATTTAAATGCAGGACAGCAGGGTTTTATGAGGAGGAAATGTGGCATCAAGATGTGAGGAAGACTCATCAACAACCTACGCTACGCAGATGACACAATTCGGCTTGCTGAAACTGAAGAAGACCTGACGCGCTTGCTGCAGACGATCAAGGACTGTAGTCTTCGATATGGATTGAAGCTCAACATCAAGAAGACAAAGATTCTCACCAATAGGCCAACTGGCAGAACCATGCATAATAGATGGAGAAGAGATTGAGGTTCTTAACAATTACGGCTTGCTCAGCTCCACAATCCACACTCTTAACACCAGAAGACAGGAAATCAAAAGACAAATTGCACTGGGAAAATCTGTTGTCAGGAACCTCTCCAGAACACTGAAAAGCAGTGATGTAAGTCTAGACACTAAGGTGCACCTAATCCAGGCCATGGTCTTTGCAATTACTTGCTATGCATCAGAGAGCTGGATAACCGAAGAACTGATGTCTTTGAATTGTGGTGCTGGAGAAGAGTCTTGAAGTTGTTGTTGTTGTTGTTGTTGTTATGTGCCATCGAGTCGCCTGTGACTCCAAGAAAACAAATAGGACTGTCTTAGAGGCTAGGATTTTGAAGCTCCTTCTCACATACTTTGGGCATGCAGCCAGGACAGACCGGTCCTTGGAGAAAGACATCATGCTTGGAAGGGTGGAGGGACAGCACAGGAGAGGAAGACCCCGGAAGAGATGGATTGTTACAGTAAGTGGGGCAGTGGGGGTTGGTGTGTCAGAATTAGTGAGAGTGGCTCAGGAAAAGGCAGGATTCAGAGCTGCTGTACGTAAGGTCGCTATGGACTGCAGGGAGCTCGACAGCACATAACACAACTACCTACTTAGGTTCTTTCATCTGTACCATTCTTCAGATAAAGTCTTTCAGTGCCCAGCTGTTGTGTTGGAAATCTCAATGGGCTAGAAGTCTGTCTAAGCCATCTTGGCCAAATTCTTTAAGCACCACAGTGTTTGCTTCAATCACACTTAATAAAATGAAACTTGGGGGTGTGGTGAAGAGGGCATTATAAAGGTTCTTCTCCCTGCTCTCTTAGCACAGTTCAAGCATCCTGAGAGTAAACCTAGGAATCCTGGTGGTGCAGTGCTTATGGCTGCTAACCACAAGGTAGGCAGTTCAAACACACCAACCACTGTATAGCAGACAGATGTGCCAGTGTGTTTCTGTGACGTCCCAATGCCTCAGAAATGCTGTGGGCAATACCACTCTGTCTTTTAGGCTGACTATGAGTCAGATGTGATGGTACCAGGTGTGGATTTGTTTGGGTTTTTTAACTTACAATAATGTAAAACAAATGGTTAGCACAGCCAGGTTCTAACTGAAAGGCTGCAGCTCAGGTCCACCCAGAGGCAGCTCAGAAGAAAGGCCTTCTGATCCACTACTCCTCTCCATGTAGACCATTTCCTCCAGCGCTGGGTCGCTGACCCACTCCGCCTGGCTAACATTTGTTCTCCTGCAGATCTTGGCTAAGAAATGACCTGTTCTAAGAGAAGGCCTCCTCTGGTACGAGGCCCTCCCCAGCACACCACTGGCACCCCAGCTCTTCCATCTCAGAACACATGCTGTACAGAACAGCCTACCTGGTTCTCCTCTCTGCTTTACTGGAAACTCCTTAAGAAGTTGTTGAAATATTTATTAAGATACACCTCATTTCTTTAAATCAAATATGATTTCAAGATTCAAAGACTGGCAAATTATATTTACAACACAAATCCCAAAAGTTACTCGGGCACGTTTCACTGTACTGCACATGCTTTACTCTGCTTCTGAGCTGGGGCCACATACAACCCAAAGGTCTGTGGTAACCCTGCTCCACAATGAGTCTACCAGCAATCTCCCAACAGTGCTCACACTCGGGTCGTTCCAGCAATGTCTCACACCTTTTCAGAATGCTACTGCACACCTAACAGACCACAGGGCAGTGTAAATATGCACAGGGCAGGAGGGAGGCAGATAAAATAGACTTCAGGATTGTTTGGAGAAACATTTAACACAGAAACTAAAACCTGGAGGACACATGCCCGTGACCTCCAGGCAGTGCCAGCGGCCCGCACTCACCTCTGTAAGCAGTATGGCCAGCATGTCCTGCCTCTGGAAGCGGATGGCCAGGTGCACGAGCGTGTAGCCGACATCGAAGGCAGAAGGGCGGTTCAGCAGGCGCACCTCGTCAGCTGTCAGCTGCCGTGCAATGTCTCCCCCAGACGACTTGTACGCTTCAATAGCAGCTAAGTCACCTTCTACAACCCCTAAAGCAAGCACCAAAATGGAAGAGGCTTTCATTCTAGTTTCTCCTCCTAAAAGGCTCAAAACTGTAGCGTTCACTCCAAACTCTTTTAAGCATTTCTGTGTATTTTGTGGGTCCTGGGGCATTTGTAAAGAATTCGAAAGAACATTTAAAAAATTGGTTTCTTCCCCTCTCTCCCTCTGACTTCTTTCTGGAATTAAGCCTAAGCTGGGCACTTACCTGGTCATCAGGGTTGGCTCATGCCCTGGGGGCCTTTAGGAGCTATGAGGAGAACCAAACAGTGAGGGGATGGGCTGGGAGAACTGGTTCAAAGGACACAGAGTTAAAAAGAGAAACCAGACTCGGCAGGAGACCCGAGCACAGTCCCTGTGGTTACCGTGACTGCACACTCAGAGGAGGCCGGGAAGGGCTGCTTTCCACTCACTACATCCTCAAGTTGGTCTCTCCACTCTGCCGTTTAGCTCTGAGGCAGCAGGAAGGGGTAAATGAAACGTAAGCCACACGTTGTAGATGCTCACAGGCAAGCTTTTCTCACCTGCTTTAAGAGTAGGAAAACCTGAACCAAATCATTTCCTACAAAAACAAGCCAAAATAAAACACTACAGCTTGTCAGACGCAGAAGGTAAATAAGCCCAATTTTCCTAAGTTCATAATGAACTCATTCCTACCAAATGGAATTATGAACCTTAATACAAATTAATGTCAGGTTATGTTCGTAATCCAATCTACTAAGCAGTACGACGCCAAGACAAAGTAGGAAGCCGGTGTGGTGGTCTACTTCTGTAAACCAGCCAGTGGATCCCTTACAGCCCACAAGAGTACAATCTGCAACTTGTAATGGGGCTAGACCAGGAGCCAGCAGCATTCTGTCCCCTCACAGCACACATCCAGCCATGGCTCATGGCCCCATCATGTCCACAGTCCATCATGTACATGGCCCATCATGAGCTGAAGGCCGAGTAGACAGCCAATGACTAAATGTGCACTTACAATGTGCTAGTGTTACAAGAGTTAAGTGATCAACTACTAATCAAGAGGCTGATAGTTTGAACCTTCTCAGAGGCACCTCAGAAGGCAGACCCAGTGATTCCCATGAGAAAGGTCATAGCCTTGAAAACCTGACGGAGTGTCTTTCTGTTCTGATATAAACAGGGTCCGCAGAGGCTTGACAGCAACTGAACTACTGGGGTAATGAACAGTTCTGGCAAATATGAAGTTGTGTAAGGGTTAAGTAGCTTCAAGTTTACTGCTGTTAAAAATACACACATACACTTTGGGGGGGGGGAGGCTGAGGATGGGTAGCGGCAAAACCAAAGGGTTGCACAATTTGGTGAGTAGAGGGGGGAAGAAAATGGAAAGGATCTGGGCAAAAAGACATGGTTAATGATGATGGGCAATGCCCAATGGTGATTACATTTATAAAACATAACGCATGAGAATGATTGTATGAAACACAATGTGAATGAGGAGTAGTGAGAAATACAGTGCTTATGAACTTTGTAAATAAACCAATAAAAAAAAGAAAAAAATACACGCATACCCATTAAGACTGTAGGACCAAATATTTTTCAGCTGTTTTCAAAATTAAAATAAAAGAGGTGCAAAAAAAAAAAAAAACAAACCCAAGAGAAGTGCATGTGCTGGGTGAAATGCTTTTAGTCTAGCTGGAAAAGAGTCTTCCTGTGTTTTATAAAACAGCATTTTGATTTCCATCCTGACTTACAGATAAGTAAGAAATAAAGACCACGGTTACAAATCCTTTTTTGGGGGGAATCTAGACCCTCCTTCAAGAAAAATATCCCCATCACCCTTGACACATGTTCTTCAGGTTAAGAAAGGATGATACTGTATGAGAATACCTACCCACAAGAATTACCACTTTCACAGCACTGTAGTTACTGCATCCCTCAACACACACACTCTCTAGATTCTCCTCATTAAGGACTTTAAAACACTCTTCTGGGGACACAGGCCTGGAGCAATCGCAGAGAGAAGCCACTAGAGCTAACAAGCATTAAGACTGACACGAGACAAGGAAGGTAAATACTTTCAAAACATCAAACCTAAAGAACAAATAGAGAAAGAGCTATTTGAATTAAAAAATAAATCTAAAGACCATTACTGTAGAAATGGAAAGGTAACTAGTAAAGCATGTTTGAGGATCTAGGGGGGGTGGGAACAGATGAGTGAGGATGTACAGCGAGGTAATCACAAGGCTGTACAATGTGATGGACAGGGTGAGGGTTTGTTAAAGGAAATGGCAACGATCCCAGTGTGAAAAACGATGTATACGAACTTTGTAAGCAAATCAGCATAAAATAAGTTTTATAAAAAAATAAGTAAATCTATGGTTAAAGAGTTCTCTATTTCTAATTATTATGTTCAAACATATAACTCTAAAATTTTATTTTCATGAATAGATAAACAGCAATTGATATCATTCCCTCCTCAGCACTGAGCACGCTCCGCTCTGCTTCCTTTCCCTCACTTCTACCACACATCTTTAGGAAGGGGAGGGACTCTTCTTCACCAGGTCCTGTGGCAGATGTGACCACTCCCAAACCCCTATGTGTCAGAGCACACTGTACAGTTTTCAGTTCTAACCTAAACACATGAGTCATCCCTTATGAAATCATATTCAAAAAGCTGATATTTCAAATTCAAGTTATATAGAATGGTTTATAAAGACAAACTCTACAATGTACATCAGAACATTGCAGCTGTTGTTACTGTGTGATTATGTTTAGGTGGTTTTCGTGCATCTGGACGTGTTTATCTCTTTAAAGCCAAGTTTTTTTAAAATGTACTATCCTGAAGCACTGGTAGTACACAGAGTGTAATGAAAAGCAGCTTCTACAGCAGTTTGTATCCATGAAGCACTCTGAGGGAGAGAGATGAGGAGTCTCCGCCCACTAAATTGACAGCCACAGAAACCTGATGGAAGGTGACTGAGTTAAATCAATTCAGTGGCCATAGGTTTGGGTTTTTTAAATACTATATACTAAGAAACTACGTTATGCAGATGACACAACCCTACTTGCTAAAACTGAGGAGGACCTGAAGCGCTTGCTGCAGAAGGTCAAATACTGCAGCCTTCAGTATGGATTGAGGCTCAATATCAAGAAAACAAAGATTCTCACCACTGGGCCAAATGGCAGCATCATGATAGATGGTGAAGAGACTGAGATTGTTAACAGCTTTAGTTTGCCTGGCTCCACAATCAACACTCTTGGCATCAGCAGCCAGGAAACTGAAAGATGTACTGTGATGGGAAATTGTGTTAGAGACCTCTCCAAAGTACTGAAGAGCAATGATGTCAATCTGGAGACTAAGGTGCGCCTGCCACAGGTCATGGTCTTTGCAATCACTTGCTTCACTTACTTTGCCATCAGAGAACTGGACAATGACTCAGGATGACAGAAGGAGAATTGATGCCTTTGAGCTGTAGTGTTGGAGTATTGAATATGCCATGGAAAACAAACAGGTTTGTCCTGGAGAGGGCTAAACCAGGCTGCCCCCTGGAGGCAAGGATTCTGAAGCTTCAACTGACATACTTTGGCCATGTTGCAAGGAGGGACCAGTTCCTGGAGAGGCACGTCATGCTTAGGAGGGTGGAGAGACAGTGCAGGAGAGGAAGACCCTCAATGAGATGGACCGATTCAGTGACTGGAGCAATGGGGCTAGGTGTGTCGGAGACAGTGCGATTGGCACAGGACAGAGTGGAGTTTAGGGCTGTTGTACACAGGGTCGCTATGAGTCACAAGTGACTCGACGGCACATAACAACAACAACAAAAACCATAGATATGCATTATGCCTCAACATTCTAAATTATATACAAATTTGACTTAGAAAATAAATTGGGAACAGAACGCAGTCATACTCCAGGGACTGCTTATATATAAACTTCCTCTTTATTACTTGAAAATGTCCTGAGCCCTCCAAAACCAACAAACTAAGTGTCCATGCAGTGTAGGTATGTACATGACTATCAAGCACAAATGCCTACACAGTCAAATATTTTTATTTCCCAGAGACAAAGGATGAGGCCACATGAAGACCAAATGACATCCTGCTTTTGGTTAGAGGGTCGGGCTGAGCTTCTAAGTCATTGTCCTCGTCATTTCTAACTAACTTACCATACAGCAAAGTCTGGAAGAATCTCATGTTCGAAATTCCTGCCTAAGAATTCATTTCCTCATGAATGTTTCTGAGAGATCGCTATAATCACAAACTAATTAGCAAAATCAAAGCCAAGGGGCTGCAGACTGAACTGTGCTTGGTCAGAATTCTCATTTACAACATGACCCGTTCTGCCTTCAAATGAAGTGCTTTTTAAAAAACATACACAGAACTTTAAATGGATGAACCACATAGCGAGTGAACTGTCACCTCCAGAAAGCTGTCATGAATGCACACAGAAACAGAGAGACAAAGAGAGAGACAGAAAGACAGAGAGAGCGACCGCAAGAGTGAGATTTGTGTTGAACTGTGAAGCTCAGGCCCCCCGCACAGAGCAGACACGAGAGGGAAGACACGGAGCGTGAGGGGAAGGGATTATGGGGCCCAGGCCTTGCCACATCATCCCCCACACCTCTCAGAACATGAAAAACACATATTTATGTGTTATGTGAAATAACAGTATTTTGAAAGAGAAAGGTTTTATTGCCTAATATTTAGAGAAGGTTAATTTTACAAGTTTATTAAAGTCAAACTTCACTGGGCAGTCTGAGTCGTGGTCTATCTGTACCACACACCGTCTGAGGAGAAAAGCTGATTAAAGTTTAGACAGATTTCTAACACAGGATTTCCACCTGGTAAGCACTGACTAGATATTAATAACAGGGTGTAATAATCAGGTAATTTCCCATCTGCCCTCTCTAATGAGGGGGTGAAGAGGAGCGTATCAGGTTATAAGAAAACAAAAGTTACAACATGCCTTTTGAGTTCTTAACAGGTTTTAATCACTACTTAACACTGGGGATAAAATGAAAGCAGTAAG